AGCAGGAATCTCTGATCAGGGCAGTCCCTGCCTGTTTTAGGGGATGCTGCTGCCTTCTCCTCTCAGACTGCTGAGCAATTCTTTCTTAAGAAAGATAATTTTGCATCCAGGGAGTCTTAAGGAAAGTCACTTATTTAGTGATGTTATTATTTAGTAGATAGCAGGGATCTGCTTAAAAATGGGTGAAAAAAATTCCCTTTTTAAAAGAATTAATGCATCAGCGTTTTTACAGGGGCTACTCAATGCTTCAAGTATTTTCTGGCAGAATTTCACTTTCTTAGGACTTTCTTTTTGCTGGGGATTTGATTCTATTGAGCCAACCCAGTCAGAGGCTGAGAGCAATACAAATATTACACTGAATCTAAAACTAAATAGAAAAAAACTAAAATCTGCATCAATAGCTTGAACTCCACATTTTAAACCAAATCCAAGCCAGCTCTTCGTTCTATCCCCTAAAGTAATTTAGAATTACATGGCTAAATAAAATTACACAGATCAGACAAAGCCAAAAAAAAAAAAAATGCTTAGAGGTATCAGGTGTTTTCAGTGGTCTTGAATGTATTTTAGAATGTTTATACTAACTTTTATCAACTTACTCTCCATCATTTTAGCTGGAATTAAATGAGAAATACTCCAATCAGACCTGTGGACTCTGTGGGGACTTCAATGGCTTGCCAGCTTACAATGAGTTCTACTCCAACAGTAAGTTTTATAAACAATAAAATTTGATTTCTGAAGTCTCCAATACCCTTTCTTTTTTGTATTTTTTTTTTTTTTTAACTCTAACATCATCAACATTCTTCTTTCCTATTCTGTTAAATTATTTACCCAGGAGATAAAATACTTTCTCAGATTGAAAATACACTGTACAGAGATCAGATAATGTGATTTAATGCTTTAAATACAAATATACTACTGGTGTTGACAACAGATGGCATATTTCTTGTATGCCATGGGTTTATTTACTTATCCAGGTAATCCCCACAAAAACAAGCCAGACTTTCACTCTTAACAAATAAATATAGAAATCTATTCACTAAAACAAAAGTCAATTGTTTTGTCTAGTGAGTACATTCATTGTTTCTCCTCTGTCTTAAAATTGATGTATCCACATTTGCCTGCTGAATTTATAATCTGTGTATGATCTTATCTTCATCATTCTACCCATTCCCAGCTTGAGCTTTCTCCTGAACCTTGTCTCACAGCAGCTTCCATGGCCCAAATCCCTGGTTAGATTCATTTCTAGCTCCCCTACACAGGCTCAGTACCTCCTGAAAAGAGTTTATTATTTTTCTGCTGTCTACATTTAGCCCATATCTGGGGCTAAATCACAGCAGTTGCTCTATCACCTTGTGACCCCTCCCCAGCAGGGGAGAGGGATCACAAAAAGGAGAGGAGATCCACAGGTTAAAATGAAAAGGGATTTATAAAACCACCAAACCAATACCTGTATGAAGCACACAGAGTTACACTCAGCCCAGGGAGCATCCAGCAGCCACAACGAGCAGGAAAGCATCCTCGGGAGCAGGATGGTGAATGAGCCCCTCCAGGGATGGGGGAGCAGGAGAAGGAAGCGGAGCAGCAGGAGGAGCCCCCCTCTCAGCAAACTTCCCTTTTCCTCCTGAGCATGGCATTTATGGGATGGGATAAACCTGCAGCCAACTCAGAGCAGCTGCCCTGGCTGGGTCCAAACTACAGCCTGCAGGCACTGGCTGGACTGGGATCCTGTCCCAGCAAAACCAGAACACCTGGTAAAAATCTTAGGTTGCTTCTAGATGTAACAGGTTCGTTGAAAAATGTTGTTTTCTAATGCTTACTGTGCCCAGGGTGCTGTGCAAGGCAAATGGAGGCAGTGATGTAGGGCTTCCTTTGGGAGAGGGGAGGATCAAGTTTAAAAGCTTAAGGGAACCAACAGCCTTGGCCTGTCCTGAGCAGAATTCTTGAGAGGAGAAAAAGATAACAGGCAGTCATCTTGAACAAAAAGCCCCAACCTTTATTATTAAACTCTTTTGTACAGATGTTAAGATGACAGCCTTGCAGTTTGGGAATATGCAGAAGATGGATGGGCCCACAGAGCATTGTGAAGACTCTGCTCCTACCCTGCCAGATAATTGCACTGCCAGCTTTGTAAGGATCCTTTGACTCTTTTTTTATATTTCTTTCAAATTTATCTATATCCTTTTATAATTTCAACTGGGTCTACAAGAAAAGCCCTCGGGTGGCAGCAACTTAAAGAGGGATATAACATTCTATTAAAGAATAATTCTGCTGAAATATCTTTCCTTTCTATTTTCTGGAAGTTGCTGATTTTATTTCTCTTCTCCCAAGGATGACATATGCCAGAAAACGCTGACCAGCTCTGCGTTTGCAGAGTGTAATGACCTGGTGGATGTCAGAGAGTACATCTCAGTTTGCCAAGATGACTTGTGCCTCTCCAAAGAGTCCAAAAACTCCTCGTGCATCTGTGACACCATTGCCGAGTACTCCCGGCAGTGTGCTCATGCTGGTGGGCACCCTCTGAACTGGAGAACCTCAAAACTCTGCCGTGAGTATCACTGGAGGAAGTCTCACTTTATGCTTTGTAGCTGACAAGCAGCTCTCAAGTGATGCTGAGGGTGAATAAGAACTTGCAGGCTGTTGAAGATGCTCCTCCAGAAGGTCCTGATGTACAACTTCCAGCTGGAAGACTTCAGCAAAAGAGCTAAAGGTGTTAATGAAGACTGGATTTTTCTCTATCAAACACATAGTGCAATTGAGAGTAAAAGTGTTAATTAATTAACTGGGAGAGTAAAGGAGGTAGATAAAAGAGAAAGAAAATTGTGTGTATTCCTAGTCCTCTCCTTTTCTCAGGGTGGCTACAGCATTTTTTGTTCTCAATTATTAACTGGGTCCCCACAGGTGTTGGGCTGGTTGAGCACTTGCTTATCTCCTCTTGCTTGGTGGTGAGGAGTTTGCAGCACTGTAATCTTCACAGAGGTTTGTGCTGAATTAAACACCCACTAGGTTAGGGCGTGTAGCTGCTGATACTGCTGCCAGCATTTGCTCCAAGACAAAAGCCCCTGAGGTCCTATTTGCCCTTCCAGTGGTATCTGAAAAATGCAAATATACCAAAGCTTTGGGAATTTAAGTCTTAGGTTTTCCTGACAATAGAGGTGTTCGTGCAAAGGGTGCCTTCAGGAGACACAAAGGCCTTGCTGGCTTCGTGGGGTCATTACCTTGCTGGCCCCACAGCTCTAGCCTGAGCCAGCTGAGCAGCAGACAGGCAGAGGAAGCACATCTCAGATGGAAAACACAGACCTAGGAGGCTAAACTGGCATGTTTTGAGAGCTGGCAGCTCACCTGCAGTTTAATGTTGGTTTATACTTAGCTGAAAAAAACATGAAGTGAATATAAAAGTTTTCATATGCAGCGAACTAGAAATAGTCTTGACTGAAAACAATCTCTCCTCCTTTAAAATTTCAGCCAAGAAGTGTCCTTACAACATGCAATACCAGGAGTGCAGCTCGCCCTGTGCTGACACGTGCACCAACCCTGAACGCTCTCAGTTCTGTGAAGAACACTGCATAGGTGGCTGTTTCTGCCCCCCAGGCAAGTTCTTACATCCTTCCACCTCTGACCTCAAAGAACAGCTTTCCTTTGAGATTTGGGCAGGTTCCATGGGGTTTAAGCTTCCTGTAGTTGAGGTTTTCAAGCATTTGTCATGTCTCAGCTGAGAAAAGGTACCTGACTGAGCTGCCAATGCATGTGCAATGCTCAAAAAGCAGGAAAGCAGAACAGCAAACGGACCAAGGCCAGTCTCCCAACAAGCCACCTGTGCTGCAGGAGGTCCCTCTTCCAAAGCAGGTGGAATTTCAGAGCATGAAGGTCGGATCCTTCCCTGGGCATGTCGGCACCGTAGCTGCGTCCAGTCACCACAGCTGCCTCTGAGGGGATACCTGGGATCTGTGACACACAAAACCAGTCTGTAGAAAACACCTCTTTAATTGTTTATGGTTTTAATCTCTTTTCTTTCTTAACCCAGGGACTGTGTTTGATGACATCAACAGCTCTGGCTGCATTCCCCGGGAGCAGTGCTCCTGTGTTTACAACGGCAACACCTACGCCACGGGAGCTGCTTTTGCAGACAAGTGCCAGTCCTGGTAATCCTTCTTACTTTCCAAACTTGCTGTTTCCTCTCATAGATTGAATGAATTTAAGGGTTTGCCCTATGCAGTTGCATCACTGGTAACTGATATGTGTGTTTAACTGACTGCTACAGTTCCAAAATATCCCTAAAGAACATTCTTTGGTTTATTTAGCCTTAACTAGCTTTGCACTCTAACTCAAGGAGATCAAAGCAAGGATTTACAATGTTTAGAGTTCTCAACAGTCAATTAAAAATCTTCCTCTTTATTTTGTTCAAACATTTGGACTTCAAGGGGAATGGAGTTACAGTGGTTTGTGTATTTGCAAATGTTTACTCTCTCTGGAGAAAGCAAAGGACGACACAACACAACTCTGATTGCACAACTGTTCATCCTGTACCTGTGCACCACCACATCACCTTAGAAAACAGCTACACTCTGCATCAGCAGCTGACATTTCTGATTATTTCTGATACATCTGTACAACACAACAGGAGAGAATTTAATTTGACAGTGTGCTTTATGTTAGCTGCAAATCCCAAGCAATTACTCATCCAACGCCTCTTGCTGGAGAATTCACCTGTCCAAAGGAGGAAAACAATTAAATAAAGTGAATGTGGACCAGAGTAATTCCTTTTGTGAGCATGTGATGAAAAATTAAAGTCCTAAACCTCGATTTACTGGGTGTCAAACCACAGCTGGAGGGGACACACAGGAGTGATGTAGCTGAGCCCACCCCAGTGTAAGTCCCTTGGCTCTGGACTCCCGTCACTGATCCCAGCTAACTCTGTGCTCTCTCTCCCAGTACCTGTAACGGAGGCCAGTGGAGCTGCCAGGACAAGTCCTGCCCAGGAACGTGCTCAGTAGAGGGAGGCTCACACATCTCCACATATGATAAGAAGAACTATGATCACCACGGAGACTGCACTTATGTCCTTTCTAAGGTGAGACCCAGACATTGACAGGTCAGAAAGAGGAGGTGACCTCAATCAACGCTTTTGAAACCTACCTCTCTGGACACACAGATGTGAAACTGCCTCTCACTGAGCCAGATGTTTACTAGAACATCTGCTGCCATTCAAATAACAATTGTCAGTTAACTATGAGGATGTCATGCACCAACATCTGGTGTTCACTGGGGAATTTCCACTTCTGTGATGTAGTGATTGCTGAGAGTTTTGCCTTCTTTAAGGGCTTGCTTAGTCCTTAATCTTGCTAAGCCCTTAGTCCTTGATCTTTTAAAGGCTTTTTCTGTTTTCTGTCTGTTCTTTGCTGTTTTCCTTCTCTGCAAAATTCATTTAAAAAGAAAAATATATAAGCTGTATGCCCTGAAAAATGTTTTATCTGAAACTTCTGTCTAGAATTGGTACTAGGTACAGAAAAATGAGAGATAAAGGAGAATTGGATCAAACATTAGAAGTGGGCATGAAGAAAACTTCCAAATATGGATAGCATTAATAAAATGCAAAACTAGGTTTTAATTCTCTTGTTGTCCCTAATTGTTACAAAAGGTAAAACTGAAGCTTAAAAGAAAGCTTTGGATTTGGGAGAGTCTGAATCTTCTCCAGAAACGGAAATATTCTTTTCAAAGTTGAGAGAAAATTTTACAGGGAAAGCTTCTGTAATTAGCCTTTCATGAATTAACTTCTGACTTTGGTGTTTCACAGCACTGTACAGATGAAACATTCACCATCCTGGCAGAGCTGAGGAAATGTGGCGTGACAGACAGCGAGACGTGCTTAAAGACAGTGACCCTCAGCATGAACAAAGGGCAAACTGTAAGACTGCAAATTAAGCAGGGGAAACAGCTATTTAAGCATATGGGGAGCAAAAAAAGATGGGTAAACAATTATTAAGTATATGGGGAGCAAAGAAATCGGGGAACTGCCTTTCTCTCTCCAGTGGTCAGCACATAGAATAAGTATGTGTTACTTTTAATCGAGTGAAAAGAATCTGATGTTGTTATGAAAATCAGATCAGCCATAAATCTGGCTTTGCAGGAAGTTCATTAAGGAAATCATTGTACTCACAAAGCAGAAAAAAGCTATTTTCTCTGCCTATTAAATGGAAAAAACAACCATGAGCTTTTAGCTTAGAAACAGCAAGTACAACAGTGAGGGATGTAATTCATCCCAAAGATGTGTTCAGAGAAACAGAGATGATGTAATTCTCTAAGGAGCTGACAAAATAATTCTTTTGTAGCAGGGGCAATTAGTAAAGTGTGCAAAGTGGAAGGAGGAAGGAGGCAAAATCACAAAAATCTTCCCTTATTATTTAATATCCATTTAATTAATATCACTGTGATCATCTCCGTTATCACTCTTTGGACTACAGCTGCCCTTCACACAGTTGCCTCTTCTTCCTCTTCCTTTCCAGCTCATCGAGGTCAAATCTGATGGTGGTGTGTTTGTGAACTCCATCTACACCCAGCTGCCCTTCTCAGCAGGTAGTTTTTTCTCTAACAATCCATGAGCAATAACCTCAGAGCTTTAACTCCACACCTGCTTCTTTGCTTAAACTACGGGAGATTCAAAGGCTGTGATCTGCTCAGAACCTGCATCTTCACACCTTGGTTCTCTTTGGGATATTTCTTGAGTCACACCAGTGCTTTTGAATGAAAAAACATTTCCTTGGGCAGAAATTTGATTTTTGCTGTCCCAATAACTAATGATTCTATGCAGTATCTCTGACCTCCAGAACTGTTTATTTCCCCCCTCTAGCAGAGTGGTGGCTCCAATGCATGCTGTACAATCTTAAAACAAAACTAGGAGCATTCATTTTAGTGCTCAATGCTACACAATTTTCCCTTCTTATTCTCTTGGACAGTGTCATCTCCAGCTGCTTGATGTTGAGACAGCAAATAAACAACTTAGTAGCCACCAGCAAACTCTGAATTGTAAATTTTGATTTATATTCCTGATTCGTTTTCCTAAAGATTGGGTTTATTTTACCTTGGAATTTACAATAATTCAATCCCAGAATGCTGTAGTGGTTCAGTTTCCAGCCTTTCACCTCAATCAGAAAGCCAACGTCCTGTTTTTCACCTGTAGCTAACGTCACCGTGTTCAGACCCTCGACGTTCTTCATCATCGTGCAGACAAACCTTGGTGTCCACCTGGAAGTCCAAATCACACCCATCATGCAAGTGTTTGTGAGACTGGATCCTGCTTTCAAGAACCAGACCTGTGGTAAGTGAATGAAAGACAAAAAGCATCCTCCTGGAGGTCTTCTGGCCAACACGAGCAGCATTAAACTTTTCATTGCTTTTCAACAGGTCTGTGTGGAAACTTCAATAATATCCAAACCGATGATTTCAAGGCCATAAGTGGAATAATTGAAGGGACAGCAACAGCATTTGCTAATACATGGAAAACTCAGGCTTCCTGCCCCAACGTCCAGCGCAGCTTTGAGAACCCCTGTGCACTCAGCATCGACAACGGTGTGTGCTTCTGAGAGCTTCTGATAGGTTTTTGGGTTTTTTTGCTCATCCCTAAGGAAAAAACATCTGTTGGAAAGCAAAGATAAGGGAATGAAGACTTCTAAACTTGGTAAAAATATATGTCTGGAATTAGAAGCAAAGATTCCAAATGGAAGCATGTAAGATAAGTAACAAAGTAAAGGAAGAGTCACAGAAATATAACAGAAGGCAACTGTATGGGCACTGAAAATAGAGAGGATGTCTAATTATTTAGGATTGCAGGAGTATCTCTGGAAGTCTTTTATTCATCCCCTTCATCAAGCACTTTTCTTTGGGTTTAGGAACCTCAGCCCACAAGCTGAGTGAAAAAAAAAGACAGGAGAAGTCTGATGTAATCTCAGAACTGGCTTTCTAGACCAGGGTTTTGTGACAGATGACAGACAAAGGGTAACGTGGTGTCCACTGGTCGTTCTCTCCACAGAAAAATACGCCGAGCACTGGTGTGGGCTGCTGACAGACAGCGAGGGACCTTTTGCTGCCTGTCACCACGCAGTGAACCCCTCTGTTCACCACACGGTACTTTGCCAGGCTGCTTTTCCCTGTAGGAACAACAGGAATAGGATCATTACAACCGGCAGGCAGAGGAGGGCAGCTCCAGACACTGCACCTGCATCTTCATTCCTGTAGCTCAGCTCCTCCTTCTTTCAATGTGTGCTTGATCCTGACTTGCTTGCAAATGAAAAGGCAGCTATTTATGATTTATTTAATCTCCTGAGTGGACATACACAGATGGTAGGAAGTAGATGCAAAGACATGTCAAGTGGATATTCAGATAACGGTGCGTTGTTGTCTCACCAGCCCCAGATCTCATTAATAACCACTCAGCACAGAAAGCCCATCAGCTAATTAACATCATTCTGCTAACAACGTGTTGCCAATCTTTCTTCTCACTGTGAACCATCCAGGTGTGGACAGTGGGAAAGTGATGTCTGGACTGGGTGCTGTGAACACAGCTCCATCCTCTGCCGTGCAGCACATTCATAAACATGGTTTGGAGGAAGATGAAGCTGCTAAATGTACAATGGGTTTTAAGACCATTATTTCCCAATAATAACTGCAGCCATCGATTGACTTTCCATTACCTTCATTCTCCTCTGCCAGGAAACTCAGACACAGACTGAGAAGCAATAAAGTTGTGTTGGTGTTGTCTATGAGTGAGACTATCTGAAGAAGGCTTAGGGCATGAGATGAGATAGATAACATTCTTTTTTCTTTTCATTTGACAATATTACCAGTGCTGAGACTTTATTTTTCTCTGTATTCTCAGAACTGCATGTTTGACACCTGTAACTGTGAAAATAGTGAGGACTGCCTCTGTGCAGCTCTGTCTTCCTACGTGAGAGCCTGTGCTGCTAGAGGAATCCAGCTCCCTGGCTGGAGGACTGATGTCTGCTGTAAGTACTCTGAACCTTTTCCTGAGAGAACACATCCATAAAAGTTGCTTGTCACAGAGTATTTCATGCTGATTTCTAGACAAATCTAGGAGGCTTTGCAGAAGGGAACGTGTTAAGTGAACTCCTGGAAGGAATTCTCTGTTGTTTCCTTAGAATCAATCCATTGCTAGAATCAATATGAACAGGCAGGAGACACAGCTTGGGAAAGAGCTGCTGGTATGGAATTGCCTCTACCTGTTCCTGTGACTTTGAATTTCACTGCAGCTTTATGTATCACAAGTTATTGTAGAGAAAATGTGACATATTAGAATAGCAGCACTAGCAATACTAACCAGAGCTCCTGCAGATGAAGGTCTCTGAAGCTGCATGCTGGGTTCTGCTCATCTCATAGTTTATCCAGTCTAGCAGGAGACATTCAAAGAGACGTTTTGGTTCACACTTCAAAGGGTGTGGAAGTCTTGGCAATGCATGGCAGCAACAAATGGAGTTTTATTCCCAAGACTTCATCTGAAAAAATATTGTCTTCTTTACATCCATCACTTCCTCCACCTGTACAGCAGCTTTTCAGGTCTAACTCTGGAAGTATGCAGAAATACCTTTACTTGAAAGATTCAGCACAGGCAGAGGTGTACAGTATTCTTTACACGTTCTTTCTACTGCCTGGGGGGGATTTTTACCCACCAGAAATTACCATCTGGAATTAACAAACCTATTTATTCTCCTCTCTCAAGCAAAATACACCACCTCATGTCCCAAATCCCTAAGCTACAGCTACACCATCTCCTCCTGTCCACCCACCTGCCGATGTCCCAAATCCCTAAGCTACAGCTACACCCCCCCCTCCTGCCCCCCCCCCTGCCGGGCTCTGAGCGAGCCTGATGTCACCTGCAGCATCGAGTTTGTCCCCGTGGATGGCTGCACCTGCACAAATGGCACCTACATGGATGAGAGTGGCAAATGTGTGCCTGCTAGCCAATGCCCCTGCTACTACAGAGGATCTCCCATACCCCTGGGAGAAGTCATCCGTGAAAATGGGCTTGTTTGGTAAGGGAATCTTTTGCAATAGTAGATGTATTTCCTTGTTAAAATCTGCTACATTTAAATGAATCTCACCATGCCTTGCCTCAATTTCAATACAGAGGTTTATGGGGATGCACCCAAGGGTGCTGAAGGAGCTGGTGGAAGTTCTCCAGGCCACTTTCCATCATTTACCAGCAGTCCTGGCTAACTGGGGAGGTTCCAGTTGACTGGAGGTTAACAAATGTGATGCCCATGGAATCATAGAATGGCTTGGGTTGGAAGGGACCTTATCTACAAGAAGAGCCAGAAGGGAGGACAGGACAGGAGGAAATGGCCTCAAGTTGTGCCAGGGGAGGTTTAGGTTCAAAACTAGGAAAAATTTCTTCCCCAAAAGGGTTGTCAAGGCCTGGCCCAGACTGCCCAGGGCAGGGGTGGAGTTCTCATCCCTGGAGGGACCTACAAGTTGTGGAGATGTGGTCTTAAAGATCTTTTCCAACCTGAATGATTTTATGACTCTATGATATTTCCAGATTGATAGAGCAGTTGTGTTTAGGTACATTTTCTATTTAACTCCATGACTTCTCAAGCATAAAATTATGACAACACCAGCAAGAAGAGATCTTAAGAGAAAGTAACAAGCAGAGACAAAGATTATGATTTTTCCTGTTAAGTAACAACAGGTATCACATGAAAGCAGCACTGGTAGTGGTATTGAGGGAAATTATTCCCTGAATTCCTTCCAAACTTCTGGAACTGGACAAGAGAGAAGTAGCTCTCAGTCCCAGTACCTGTTTTGAGAGAAAAAAAAAAACTAAAAAATGTTTTTCCCTCTCTTACAGTAATTGCATCCAGGGACAATTGAATTGCATTGGAGCACCCAATCCCACTCCAGGTAAAATCTTCCACTTATCTTCTTCTCTCTGCCAGGTTTTGGACAGAAAGAGTTGATAGAATTGATTTTTCTTAATGGATTTTTAAATAATAGAAGTATTTCTGATATAGTTATAGTGCAGCTGTTATCATAAAAGGCAGCAGTGAACTTAGATTAATGGTAAGACCTCCTCTTCATAAAGATTTTTCTCTGAAATACTATGGGTTTTCTTCTTCTGGGAATTCAGTGCTCTGAAGTGAATCTATTTAGCAGATTGACTAGGGACAGCAGTCCACACTAACTGAAATACCCAATTTCCAAAGAATTTCTAGTTAGTTTTTATGGCCCCAGCTGCGAGATAAACCCTGTGCTATTTCTTACTGCTCCCACTTCTCTCCTTCCTCCAGCCTGTAAATCTCCCATGGTCTACTTCGACTGCAGAAACACCACGGCAGGAACAACTGGAGCAGAGTGCCAAAAAAGTTGCCAGACTCTGGACATGCAGTGTGTAAGTTTGTCGTGGCTGGGTGAAATGGTGCTTCTGGGCTTGTCTGCTCTGAAGGGATGGGTCTATCAGATCCACTCCAAATCTACAACACAGATACTTTGTTCTTGTAGGAAAAGTCTCAAACACATTAATAATAGGTGCCTTAGACCAAAGTATAATCAAGTAACACCCAATTTAATTAATGTTTCATGTCCACCTTTCTTCAGCTACTGCAGGCAACAGTAATTAGTAGTGAAAATATTGAGGGTTCTGCCACACATTTTAGTGCTTTAGGAGAAAATTAGTGGCTATAAACTGGCCAGGAGAGATCATTCTCCCTCATACCATGATGTGATTGTGAATTTCTTGCACATCTAATTATGACTCCACCTTGGTGCGTGGTAGCCACGAGCCATTTCATGAAGGAGTACCACAGGAGAGAAACTGATTTTAACCTGACTTGACTAACACAGAGCAAGACTTAAGATTCAATGTATTTCAGATTTCACAGCCCCCAGTAGAGCAGTCAGGGTGGGCACACATAAACCATTGATCTTTAACAGAAGTATATTCTCTTAAATCAGTGCTAATAACTTCCTTTGTTTTTTTCCATTCAGTGCTTTGTATTCCTCTTCCCTGTAAGCTGGGCAGCAATAAGATCATAGACATTCTGCAAGCATTTAACCTTCCTTTTTCTACTGTGATTATTTCTTTCTGAAATTCTGTCTCACTCTTGGCTTTTGCAGTATAACACACAGTGTCTGTCTGGCTGTGTGTGCCCAGCCGGCCTGGTGTCCGATGGCAGCGGTGGCTGCATTCCTGAAGAGGAATGTCCATGCATTCACAACGAAGCCATGTACCAGCCTGGGGAGAAGATCAACGTTGACTGTAACACCTGGTAAACATTGCCTCAGAAGCAGCTTTCCTGGTTCCATCATTTGCCTTTCCAAAGTTTTTAAATGGTACAGAAGTGAGGAAAGATTTGGGCTGCACATTTCATCTGCTGAGGGACCTTTTCGTTTTGGATTAAACAGTATGAGCAGGTTTCCTTCTGATGTAGGCAGATGGCCAAAGCACAGAACGGGGGAAAATCTTTAGGGCAACAGCATTCATTAAGTCATGCATTCATTAAGTATCATCCTGTTTTGCAGTTAACACACCCAGAGCAGCAGAACAGAGCTTTGCTTTCATTCTTCCCATGAAAAGTGTACAAGACTATTTTAACTCCAGAATCAATGCCACATTTACCAGGGATGAGCTGCCAAACGAATCCTGAGTTGTTGGGATGTGTCTACACAAAAGGGTTTTATTATTAAAATATTTGACTCTCCTTCCTAGTGTATGCAAGAACAGGAAGTGGGAATGCACCGAAAATCAGTGTCTGGGCACTTGTGCTGTCTATGGAGATGGTCACTATACCACCTTTGATGACAAAAGGTTCAGCTTCAATGGGAACTGTGAATACACACTGGTCCAGGTACTGAGAATGAGCAACAGCAAATGAGACATAACCTTGACTGTGTCTACAAAAATAATATCTTTTTAAATGTTTTTCTTTACCCAGGACCACTGTGGGAAGAGTGGCACAACCAATGGCACCTTCAGGGTTATCACTGAAAATATCCCCTGTGGCAACACTGGGACAACTTGCTCAAAATCTATCAAAGTTTTCTTAGAGGTAGGAAAGTTTTGTGTATAAAGGAGGTTTTGTGTATAGACTAGATTTGTTCTGTCTCTGTTCAGGGCCTGGGAGAAGCCTAGATAACCCAATGCTTCAAGGAAGTCAGAAAAATATTTTAAAAAGCAAATCAACTTCTAAATTAGGCTTAAATCAGATTCAAGTGAAATATTTGCTAGAGCTTCCCACCTTTCTATCTTTTCCATTTCCCACCCTGTCTTATGCCACTCTCAGGCAAACTACAGATCTACAGGAAAATTGTCTATGGAAGAAATTCACCCTGTCACATCAGAAGGAGATTTTATTCTGTGCAATGCAGTTCCTCCAAAACTCTCCAAAAACTCACCATTTAAAATACCTTTTTACCCCAGTTCCAGAAACCTGAGCTTTGCACTGTATGCTTTTATCCCATGGGGATTATTTGTTTTCATTATATGAACTGTTTGTAGTACTCCTAAAAGCAGAAGAACATGCTGAGGAGCTGTTTCAGCTACTGAGTTCACTTCTAATCACCTCCTCCTGCTGTTGCAGAGCCATGAACTGATCCTTGGGGAGGAGCACATCAGTGTTGTGAAGAGGGGACAGGATGAGCAGGTGCCATACACGGTCCGCACCATGGGTACCTACCTGGTAATTGAGACCACCAGTGGACTCATCCTCATGTGGAACAAGAAAACCAGCATCTTCATCAAGCTCAGCCCTGGCTTTAAGGTGTGGAACTAGCAGTTAAATGTCAATTTACAGCCCAGATCTGGATTGGGTGTGAATTTTGTTGAGGTCCTGCCAAGACCCCAGGGAGGTGATGTCTCTTCCATTCCTGTGGGACATCCCATGTCGTTTTTTCATTCCTCTGGTGCTTCAGGAAGACCTGTCATCATCTTGCTGCTGCTCTAAGCACTGAAGGCACCTTTCAATGTCTATGTGGCCTGACAGAACTTGAGCTGGCAAACTGCTTTTGTGGACTTGAATTTGTTAAAATTACCCACTGAACCTTGGGAGAGGTTATCAGACCTTAACATGACATAGCTACAGGGGTAGACATCAACTGAGGAGTCTTGATCTTGAAAGTAATCCATTGTTTCCAGTTCTCACTGGCAAAATCCAAATCAAATTATCCTACTCCAAGGGGGAAGGAGGGAGATTTCTGGATGTGCCAAAAAGGGATTTCTTCTCATACCTGTGAGCAGTCACAACAGTAAAGACTCAATGAGCAGGCGTGTGGCTGGACTGGTAGTGTTCATGAGAGCTTTGTAAAGCTGGGTTTTATATGTACATCTGTTGTATAAAACAGCTTAAATGAACAGCCTACTGTGAGTCCTTGTTCCCTTGTTGAAGATACCTCAAAGACAGAAGCTTACAATGGCAAAGATGGGTTTATTCTTCAACATTTAAGTCAACAACAGCATCCTCCCAGCTTTACTGGTTGTGTTCTGCTACTGAGGAAACAAAGGATGAAGATGTTCAGGAATGATAAAATGGAAAGGCACCATTCTAAGAGATGAATTTCAAGTATTCTTTCCATTTCAAATGTTGTTTCAAGTTTTCTCACATCCATTATTATTTTCTTTGCTTCCTTTTGCAGGGACAAATCTGTGGCCTTTGTGGAAATTATGATGGCAATGGCATCAACGACTTCACTACAAGGAGTCAGTCTGTGGTAGAGAACGTCCTAGAGTTTGGAAACAGCTGGAAAGTATCCTCTACATGTCCTGATGCTTACAGCATAAAGGACCCTTGTTCCACCAACCCTTACCGAAAGTCCTGGTCAGAGAAGCAGTGCAGCATCATCAACAGCAACGTCTTCGCAGCCTGTCACTCCCAGGTACTGCCAGGGCAGAAGTTTACTCTGGGAAGACCAGATCTGTGTGTTATGGAATCATAGAGAAATGTCTAATTCATGGGCATGTCTCACTGCCAGAAAAACATCAATCTGAATCCTAACAATGGGACAGATCTATCATCTGTACTTGTAAGAAATATTACGATTTTAAGGAAATCACCCCAGCAGAGCTAAGAAAGAACTTAGAAAGCAGGACGTATGGTATGACATTTCTTTTCAACAACAGGTTGAGCCAGCAGGGTATTACCAAGCGTGTGTGACAGATGCTTGTGCCTGTGACACGGGGGGAGACTGTGATTGCTTCTGCACAGCAGTGGCTGCCTATGCTCAAGCCTGCAGTGAAGTTGGTGTCTGCGTAGCCTGGAGAACCCCATCGATCTGCCGTGAGTTTTCTGCCCCAAATGTTTCTTCTGTGAGTGCAGTTAAATGTTGTTTGTTTTTCTTTTTATGAACACATCCAAATTTCTCTCTCTCCTTAGCACTGTTCTGCGACTACTACAACCAACACGGGGAATGTGAGTGGCACTACAAGCCTTGTGGAGCACCTTGCATGAAGACCTGTAGGAACCCAAGTGGAAAATGCCTCCATGACTTGCCAGGTTTAGAAGGTAAAAAAGCTGCCAGTATCTTTAAGTGGGGACGTTTTATTATATTATTAATTGTCTTTAATGGAGTGTATTTCCCCCATCAGGGACATTTGCACCATGCAATTCTCTTCAATGTTATTGCACCCACCTGAAGGGAGGCAGAGTATGGGAATTTGAGTTAAAATCTTCTCTAGGACTAAGTCCTTCTGGGTGGGCTCTTGCTGATGTTAGTTCTCTGCACGACTTCCTAGAATTATTGAAAAAAATAAAAGCAGTAAAAATTATGACTATTCAAAACAAACCCTGCACACACATTCTGCACAAACAAAACCTTCCCTGCCTTGATCTGATTGTCACCTTCTCTGCCTCCTCCGTGGCCTTTCCCTTTCTGCAGGCTGCTACCCGAGCTGCCCCCCAGACAAGCCGTATTTCCACGAGGATGAGATGAAGTGTGTGAATCTCTGTGACTGTTATGAGGAGGAAGATGGAAAGATATATGAACGGGAGGAGTGTAAAGTATGGTAAGACTTGACACGCCAGCCTCACCCTGTATGAGGGAAAATGATCCAAACAAACAGTGGTGGGCAGTTGCACGTCCCTGTTACGTGACAGGAGTGGTTTATGCTGCCTGTGTGCAATGCCTTGGTATCTAACATAGTATGTGGTTTTCCTACTAGTAGTAGTAAGAAGTTCTTCTGTGATCTTGTGTTCTGCTGAATTTGTTCCTGATGATGTTGTAAATCTTCAGCATAAAGACAGAAAGAGAACTGCACATCATTTACAACCAGGAGTTCTCTATTTCCCATTCCTATGGCAGGGAAATTACTGTTCCAGGAGTACAGATATGTAATAGAAGTCTATGTCCAAGGATTTTATTACAACCTCATACTGCTTGTAGTATTTAGATTCTTCCCCTCTTTAGCCTGCTTTTTACATTGCAAGAGCAAGGAAAGTGATAAAGAAGGAAAGTCTTCCTTAAGACTTCTACCTCTATCTTTGCCTAATATTGAGCTTCACTTCTATGTTTGGGTTTAACATAAAGAGAGATTTTGGAAAACAATGGCAAAAAAAAGAAACCAATGTGAACTGGACACTAAAGAAATAAACAAAGAAAGTGTCCTGTCTCTTGATGCTGGTATCTGGCTGGAAGATGACTAATAAAATTCCCTCATAATCAAATAATGTGGTTTTTTTATTTCAGTGAATGCACACCAGAAGGTTTACAGTGCAAGTTTGATGATAAAGGTAAGAAGAACGATTAAGAAAATGAAATGTTGGATGATATTATCTTTACATAGATGCCTGACAACAAACTTCTTCTGAATTACAGCATGCTACTGCATTTATGAAGAGAAAAGCTATAAATATGGTGAGGTCATCTACAACACCACAGATGGAGCTGGCTGGTGTCTCAGTGCAATGTGCGACGTCAATGGAACAATAAACAGAGAGATCAACAGATGTGGCTCTACAACAACCCCCTTCACATTTTCTACAAGTCGACCCACAACTACTGCTCCAGGTATGCATCAATAAGTCTTTAAAATGATGGAAAAAAGTACTCTGGAAGGGACTGGAAATTGCCTGAGAGGGACTGAAAGGAAGGGCCTTTCAATAGCTTAATGGCATAGAATTCTACTGGAAACTGTTGACTTCTGCTGGAGCCACCCATTCATCTGGCAGCTTCAGTTGCTAAGGAGACCATAAGGAGGTAGGAAGGGGTAGTGCCTTTTTTACCACACTCACTCTTCATTGCTTCACCATGTCTTTTCCAGGGGGAATAAAATGATAGCGATTATTAATCATTCCACCCTGGAGAATCTCCTCCTTTCCTTGCAAACACCACCCAGCAGTTTTAGACCAACTTCCAAAAACACAAAAGACAATGACTGCCAGTTTTTAAACCACCAACTACATTAGTGCAAAGTGGAGATAAGAAATGTAGTTTGAGGAAATGCTCAAATTATTTAAAACCATTCTTTGGAACCTTTCCTAACTGTATTTAACAAGCGAACCAACATGTTCCATCTACTCCTACAGTACACTCCAATATATTAAATATCTATTTATAAATGTATTACATGTTATCATATTAAAATAAGTAGAAAAATCATTAACCTATACAAATATTTTCAAACCTGTGTGGTTATGGAGTGAAGTGTAAATAAGTGTAGAGAGAATACCAAGGAGAATGGAACCTCCTCTTCCTTACATCATAGCAAAGGTGAGATAATATCATCCTATGAATTGATGTCCCCCACAGAGGATATCATACTAGCTATATTTAACTACAACTTCTAAAATAAATGCCACAAAAGGTATCACCAGAAAAAGAAGACAAACATGAGATAAAAACATGCCTTAGAAATGAAATTTGAGCCTATCAAAGCAAGTTCCTTAAAAGTAAAACAATACAGCAACACCTACAAAATTCCATACAAGGAAAAGTATGGGAGGTGAATATTTCTTACCTGGCACTTCAATAAGAAGAGACAAGTTTTTATGTTTCCTCCTTTCAATTCCAGAGCTGACAAGCACAGCACCAGTGACGACTGTGTGTGTGAAGAAGGTGTGCTCCTGGTCGGGCTGGTTCGACTCCACGCAGCCCGGAGACACCGCGGACGGTGGGGATGATGAAACCTTGGCAAATCTCAGAGCTAAAGGGTACAGAGTGTGCAAAAACCCAGACGAAGTTCAGTGCAGAGCCAAAGAACACCCCGACGTGGAGCTCCACCAGCTAAACCAGACAGTAGAATGCAGTCCCAGCACAGGACTGAAATGCAACAACGCAGAGCAGGAGGACCAGCAGTGCTACAATTACGAGGTCCGAGTGTTGTGCTGCAGCTATGTGCCCTGTTCAGAAACACAAACCACAACCCCGAGAACCACGGGAGCAACCACAACACCTACTGCTGCAGAAACAACAACGCTGACAGTACAGACAAAGATCAAACCGACAACACCGAAACAAGAGACGGAGACGCAAAGAACAGAACTACCCACAGTGACCCCGAGAGACACGGAGCACACAACAGCTCCAGCTGAAAGATCCTCTACAGCAAGGACAACACAAACCCCAACAGCAGGACACCAGACCACGTCTGCTCCAGCAGAAACCTCCACAGTGGCAACCGTGCCCCCAACATCACCCACCACTGCCTCCACT